CAGAAAATCAAGTAAATTTTTTTTTCTATAGATAAGTTTTTTTGAGATATTTGTAATTTACCGTTATTCAGCCGTACTCCAGATATTTTGTTTGTTTGTTGAAAAATTTGAAAAAATTTAAACTTTAACAGGGAAAAAATTAAGAAGTAATAGAATCTGTTAAAGCCTGTTCTGTTACAAAAAACTGAAGCTACCAATGGTGAAAATCAATGGATAAATAAGAACGGAATGAGTGGCCAAATGACAATGCAACGATTTATTGTATGAAATATCAGCGGAAAAGATTGTTGCGCATACGCCATGTACACCTGAGTAACAATTTTTACTGCTGATATATCATACAAAAACTCATTGCGCATTTTCATTTCACCACTCATTACTTATTAATCCATTGACTTTTTTACTCGATAGCTTATTTTTTTTTGTAAAAAACAGGTTTTAACACAAATGCAAACAATTTACACAGAATTTGATATATTTTAGGTTTTTTCCCTGTGGAATTTTGAAATTTTTTTTTTCACTTTTTATAAAAAAATTGAAATTATTCAATTCAATTAGTTCTTGGGATAACGGTAAGTTGCAAATATCTCGAAAACTTATCTACAAACAAAAATTTACTTGATTTTCGGAATCACCAAGCAATCACCGTTGAACAAAATAAAAACTCAATCAAATTACTATGTTAGTGATATCGATGTACACGATAGTAACGGCTTCGATAACAGCCTCGATAAATATATCGCTAATAGTAGCAATATGACTATCGACAATTGTTTCGATGGATATACTGATAAATTGAATAGCGTTAGGTATATGTATATCGATAAATATTTCGATACATTTATCGATAACGGTGTCGATACATGTATATCTACAATTATCGATAAAGTAATCGGTATATATATATCGATTTAGGTAACAGTTTCGATATCGGAAACGATATCGAAAATGTGTTTGCCGATATTTATTTTAATTAAGGAAACCACAAAAAATGAAAGCACACCAGCATGAATTTTTAGAAGCAATTTTCATAAAGCTAATGGGCGAGGTGAACGCCATTCTGCGTGGAATGCCAAGTTTTGCATATAGACAGCTAGACTGCTCGTCTAATGACACTGTAGGGAAAATCTCAAATTTTGAAATGACACACGTATACGTATGTATACCGTTTTTTCCAGATCAGGTCATTTCCAAGATATTTTCAGTTTTATGAAAAAATAGTTTAAACTTTAACAAGAAAAAAATTACAATTCTTTTGTAATTCAAGCTACTAAGTTGAAAATGTCCAATAATTTTTTTATGAAATGTTACTCATACGCCATATCGTACATGGCCGTACTCGTACATGGCGTATGAGTTACATTTTCCATATTAAAGTTTGAATTTTAACTTAACAAACTTAAAATGAAAATATCTCGGGGAAATTACCCGATCCAGAGAAATGGTTTACAGGTTCGTAATCCACGACCCAAAATTAAGTTAACGTTTCTCGGCGCTTTTTTGTGTCATTTTAGCATCCCTACAGTGCAATATAAGCTGACTTACGCTGAGAAAATAGTTTAGTTACGTCAACTTAATATGTTTTTCTCAACACATGATTTGGTTATAGTAACTTTATTTGGTTATAGTTACATTATTTGGCTATAATTTCCTAAATAATGTGTTGAGGTAAATATATTTGGCTGACTTTTTTCTGAGTGTACCAAAACCAAAAACAATTTCTACAGACGTTGTCCATCTTTGAAAGCAATCTCATTCTGGTGCGGTGCTCTCCTATAAATATTTCTCAAATTTTTTTATCCCTATACACAAAATACCAGCTCTCGAGGCTTTCAAAAAATTATATTATTTATATCAGTTCCTGAACCGAACTTTTTCAGTTAAATTTCTGCCCACGTTGTCAGTTAGTCAAGAGCTGATTTTAGTGTTTAACTGCGAACGCAAGAATATCATTTTATGTGATTCGGTTAGAGGGCAGTCGCACGAGGTGCTCACTTACACATTTCTTATAATGTTAATGGATGGAAAATCAGCAGAGAAGGAAATGAATGCGAGAAGATATTTAGGCAGTGCTCGGTCTAGACACTTATCAGAACCGAGAGGAGATGCTTGGCCAGCCAGAACTCTCTCTGACAGCGCACCACCTCCTTCCAATCTGTCGACCCATCCGCGATGGTGTTAATTGGACTTCTATTTAAAAGGCTACTACTCTCTCATTCACCCCGTAACCTAGGTAGGCATCCATCCGGCATTATGTGCTAGAGTTGGAATGTTTCGGAGAACTCTGCGCACTCCAATAAGGGATAGCTCCAACTTCTTAGCTAATTAGCTAATTGGCTGCATCATGTATTCATATAGGCGATATTACTCTTAAAGAGACCCCATACAACTGTTACTACAGTAAATAGCAGCTGATACCTTCCTTACCCGCTTCTCAATATTTTGCTTCCGAGCTAGCTTTCTGTTGCAGTTTCCCCGCCGAAATGCATGGCGGCGCTGTCAATGAGCACAAGTGGAATGCCACTGATCAAGGGAAGCTAGACACTGCGCACCTAATATCCCCTTGTGAATAGAACGAGTTCCGGCTTTCTAATAGAATCAATTGCAAATCAGTAGCTAGCAGTCAGTTTGTGACTAAGTTTAAGTAGCCCTGCCCAGGATCATACATATTGTCCAGAAACTTTCCTCTTACATTGAACGGCCACTTCGGTGCATTGGTTACATTGAACGGCCACTTAGTGCAAAGCAGAAATTTTATATGGACCCACACCCGGCTAATGCAAAAAAAAATTTAAGATTGGCCAACTACATCGAAAGAAAATTGCAATTAAGTGAGTGCACTTTTTTTCAGATCCCAAAAACCCAATATTTGATAATATCTCAAAAAATGTTCTACTTTCTTGTATGCTCATTTCGTATTCGGTCTCAGCGAAAAGTTCTTCCTAAAAATGTATACAAAAATGTCGCGGCTGGCTAACTATATCTAAAAAATTTTAATTAAGTGACTGCAAATAAAAATGTTTCTGTTCGGACAATTTTTTTTCATTTCGGTAAACTTGTGTTTTTGCCAACAAAAATGTAAGGCGGACGCAAGTGCGTTCTATGATGAAAAACTTGCAGTCCTTTGCCACGCCGAATACAAAATATATATCGTTGGAAAGCTTAGAAAATGAGCTATCGAAATAAGTCATTTATGAAAAAAGAAATAAAAAATTAAACAGAGTTAAAAAATACAATAAAATTTTTGTATTCCAAATGTTTTGCTAAAAAAAAATCCAAAAAATTACAGTTTCCACCAAAAAGCACGGAAAAAGTTATAATAGGCCAGCAATTTTTGATTCTCTATCATAAGTGTGACATGAGATAAGCATTAAAAAAAAAACTGATGACTACGGAAAAGGGCTGAAATTTGCATGTTTAAACTCGTTTAACTCGACAAAAAACCGCGATAGCAACAACGTAGTGGAGTTTAAACAAAATGCTGCCATAAAATGTTTTTCCCGGTACACTTGACGAATTTTGCCCCCTTTATAAATTGCAGATAAAATATTTTTGCCATTACTATTATCATTTAGTCCAAAAATTACCATAATATTAATTTCGCTTCTTTTTCTCTTTCCAGATCGCTCACTGGGATGATTAGGAGCCGCCACAAGGCAATAAAATAACAAAATATTTCCTGAGAACTCCAACAAAGTGAAAATGCGCAACAAGAATTATAAAACGATTATAATGCGCACTAAAAGTAATAAAAAGAAATGTCGAAAATTTAACAGCCTTCCAAAATTGAGGCCAATAAAACATCAGCATAAAAATGCTGCTAGCTCAATGCTAGGCGACAGAGGACGGAATGGAAAATTCCAACCAGAAATTTTGGCTATAAAAAGAATGTATAAACGTAAAGCAAATATTTGTGAGCAGAAAAATATGCGAACACAAAGAGAAGTTGCGGAGAGGGAAGCAGCAGCAGCAGCAGCGGCAACAGCAACAGCGAAAGAAATAGAACAAACAACGAAACATAAAACAATAAAAATAAACGAAATGTCGACGCCTAGGAACAGAGAAACCTAGAGCAAATTAAAGTGCAAAAATTTAAAGCGGTTTTGGAAAGGCAACGAACGAGAATTTTGACTGACTGAGCGGAAAACAATTCAAGCACTGCGATAGCTTTGCTTAGTTGGACAAGAAGTGCGTTTGCGAACTACTGTGCGCGTTTTTTTTTTGTAGAGTGTGTTTTTTTTCTCTATTTTTTAATTATCCCGCGGAAGTGATTGCCGATCTACGTGGATCCACATTTTATCTCTGCGTTTCTATTTCATTTTTATTTCGCGCCTATAGCGTGGCACAAAGTCATCAGCGCGTCATTTCCGCTTACATTGTTGCTGTCGTGTTAACCTCGCACTTCCGCTAGGCTACCAACCAGCCAACCAGCCAGCCAGCCAACCAACCAGCCAGACAGAGGTTACCTTCACAAATCACTGCCACTGCTGTTGGCGTCACGACTTCAATTGCTGTGCAGCCGCGTACGGCCTGGAGCACAGCTGACGTGCACTGGGGCGGTGTGGCCTCAACGAGCGCGCGGCGCGCGTAACGAGACAGCAGCAGCGCGCAACAATTTGCAATTCAAATTAATTGACGTGCAACCAACGCTAGCAACACAATAACAACTACAATTACAACTAAAAAAACATACATACATACATACATTCTAACGAAAATAAAGCAAAACCAAAAAAAAAAAACAAAAGAGAGTAGAAACACAAGATTAACAAAAGCATTGAATATAAAACAACGTCAGCGGCTTTCACCTTTAAATTGCCTCACTTTCAACATTTTAGCCTTCCTCTGCGCGTTGTGCTGATTTGTTTTTAGTTTTTTGCTTGGCTTTCTCTATTAATAGAAAGTTTCACACTTTCACCCCAGGCCGCCCTTTGCCTACCACCCTTACACTCTCACTTCCACTTTGCTGTCACTACAGCGCAAATACAAAGCGCAACGCGATGATAACACGGCTGTATAACACAGAGGAAGACCCTGCCCTTTGTTCGTTAATTTGGGGCAGAAACCTGAGTGTGTCGAGCGCGAATGAACAAATCGATGAGGATGGTGAGACGATGATTGTTGGTAGTGTGGCTGGTGCAACACCAACCCTATACAGCGCACACAATAGTTTTGGCAGCGGAGGCGGAGGCAATGGTGGCGGTGGTGGAGGCGATGGCGCCAGCTCTCGCAGCAATGCCGAGACGGCGGAGGTGATCTTTGGCAGCTCAGCTGTTGGTGGTGCTGGTGGCAGTAGTTTACGTGATGATTTTTTCATTGCCAACGAGGTAAGTAGTCAATACACTTTTTTTTTGTTTTTGTTTTTGTTTTTCTTTTTTAGCTTTATTTTGCTTTTGTTGTTGCTTTTCGTTTTGAATTTCATTGATGAATGTAAGCTGACTGCCTTCAAGATTTTGTGTGTGTAGCGTTTAGGCGCTCACTTTGCGTGCGTGTTTTGGGCACTGGGATTTAGAGGCGGGTAAGCAATCAATTGCTTTGAACTATATAGAATCATTGGGCGTATTCGTACGCATGCCGTACGTAAGAAATAAATTGACTTGAGCATAAGCTTGAGCTGATTGAGGGAGCAAAAAAAAAAAAGTTTTCAAGTGAAAGCAGGAACGAATTTCATTTACGTATTTACAGCAGCAAATGTTTCATATTTTATTTGGATATATAAACAATGGATACGTATTTTCTTTTCATAATGATGAACCATTTCTGGTATTCTGGAGAGGAGAGCCTCAGCCGCGTACTCCGTCCTTTTTAATCAAGACAATCCCGAAGTTGTCCTGAAAATAAAATCACGTATGAACGCAAAAAATACAGAGCATATAGTCTCGAAATTCCCCCCATAGAAATAAATGGCAGAAATAATCTGTATATAGTACAGTAATCTGTATATAGTAGAGTAAACTCGATTTAATAAATGTCATAAGTTAAATTGCATTATAAAGTTTAGGCTAATCTGTGCTAGGTTAAACTGTATGTACATATATATCTTTTGGTCCTATAATACACATAAATTAAATTACAAACGTTTTTAGCGAATCTAAGGAGCGCAAGAAGATATCCTGCAATTTTCCAAACTAAATATCCGTAGATATTTCAGTAGAGAGCGATATCCTTGCATTTTTTGCATTCGTCGCTACCGGCAATTTCTTCCTTGAATGGGTGTGGCACAAATAGGAAAATGTGGTGGTAAAAGAAAATCATCATTGACCACAATGCCTACCCACCATTTTTTTTAAATTAAATAAATATTTTTTTTTTATATGCATGCAAACAACCTGGGCTCCCCTCGCACTGAATTAGTCAAAAAGATTTATGTTTTAATGAGTTTCTCTTAAAAGCGCAAGTCTTTTTTAAATTCTAAGAAAAGCAAAATTAATGAATTCTAGCGTAAAAATGCTGATTATTCGCTGTTGTACGATTACGTTAAATTTGCCATTTTTTGTAATAGCCAATAAAGCCAAGAATACTCGCACTTAAATAAGCGCGACAAGGTCCTACTCAAGGCTTAAGGCTTAGATTTTCAGCAACGCACATAACCATCGCCAATATCTGTAAATTCAAGCATGTATGCAAATTGAGAATTGAATATTTAAATTTAATATGAACAAAATTGCCAATGACTACAAGGAACTTTAAGATATATGTACATTAGACTGCATCACTCCACATACAAACAAAAAAATCGGTCATCTTTTTCCATTGGAATTATAAAAATCTATTATATTTCAATATTAAGATTTACGTCAGCTGGACCTCCAAAAATGGGGTTTTTTATGAATAAAAATAGTTTCTTAAAGATTTTTTTTTGAATCCCCTCAAATGACCAAACGAGTTAAGCTTAAAAAATTTGCACAAAAATATTTAAAAAAAATTTTTTTTTTAATTATTCCAAGTTGAATCAATATGTGTTGGTATTTGAAAAAAAAAAAAAAAAATTGGGACACGAATGACTTTTTTTGCACAGAAATAAAAAAATAAGAAAATACCTTTCTACTGAGACCTCACAAGTCTATATCAGAATAGTTTTGGCCCAGTTATTCAAGTTTTCTAACATCAATCTTTGAAAAAAGCTAAAAAACAACATCAAAAATCTCATTATTACGATACCGTTGAAAATAGTTTTAAATATTTTTATGCAGCTTTTTTAAGTTTAATCTGTTTTGACATCTGAAGCGATTTTTTTCAAAAATTTGTTTAAGAATAGAAGAATAAGATAAGATGTTTTTAGTATCTTCGAAAATACCGAAGTCGAATCATAAAATATTATTTATCGATGTTCCTGTTTGAGAACAAAATTCGTTTCGTTCTTCCGAAGTTCTTTAACCTCAGGTCTCAGATCTCAGTTCTTATCGCCCTAACGTACCAGCCTATTGTTAGTAAGTTAAGCTCGCTAAAAATCATTAAACTTTTGCTAAAAAAGAATTTCTATTGGAAGGTAAATTTCCTTGCAAAATATATTTTAGACTCAGAGGTGTTGGGCGAACTTTTTCTTGTTTGCTTGTAAGGTGGTATGGTCCTAATGTATTGTACATATGCATGTAAATTAATATTAGCCCAGATAGTCACACATAAACGTCTGTATGTATAAAATAGCGGCAATATATACATATGTATGAATATATAACCTTTAACATTTTCTTTAAACATTTTCTTCAAAAATAAATCGCCTGCTTCTCCGCTTAGCATGATGTTTGCGTTGTCTGTCGCACCGCCTTAACTAACAGACCCATCACCACTAACAGCAACCACACACACAGCTACATATGTACCACTAAAGAGGAAAAAGTTGGAAAAAAAACACAAATTGATTTGCCTTGCAAATACTAATACATATGTATGCACTTGGCAATGAGGACATAAAAATCTGTGTGATGGGCGATGTGCGCTTAGAATCATCAGTTTTTGTAATGCAGTCGCAGCAGGATTGCAAAATGAATATTTGGCGTTAGACGCTAAGCAAGGACAGACGGTCGTGGAGAGTCGTGGAGAAACGACTTAAACACGGTCGAACTCACTTGAGCATTGAGCGAGCCGGGCAAGAGTAGGGCACGCGGCGGCCGGCAATGAATGGGCATAGTAATGACATAGATTATGTCAACTTTCTGATTTTCTTTGGGCGCATTTTTTGTTGCTTAAAATATTTATTTTTCCTAGCACTTTTTTCACTAAGCACAGAGCTTCTTTTCACTTTTTCCTGCTTTACATTTTCCATTTATAAGACAAAGTATGTATGTAACTGTGTGCAGCTGGACGCATATACATATGTATGTAGGTAGTTATGTACTTGCTAAAATGTATCTGTTGGTTCATCCTTTTGTGTGTTTCGCTCTACTTCGAGCGCCTTTATTGTTGCCAGCTAAATTCGTTTGTATTCTCATGCATGCGTGCGTTGCGTGGAAGGCCAATTTTAATAGCGAATATCCCTTTTTATGCTACGAATTACTTGCAAATTCTTATTTATCTACTCTCATACATGCACCAACATCTGTACGTTTGTACGTATGTATGTATGTACGTAGGCACATACAATGCAGTCAGCATCGCATATATTTGATTCAATGTGTTTTTTTTTCTTAATTTTTTCTTTGGTTTTTTTTCAGAGCACTTTCTCATAATATTTCTCTTTCTATTATACAGTTTCCTGAAGATCCACGCACGGAGGCATTACGTGAGTACTCGTACGGCATTATTTTGCCAATAATCTGCTCGCTTGGCATCATTGGCAATGTCCTTAATCTGGTTGTATTGACGCGTAGGAATATGCGCGGAACAGCTTATATTTACATGCGAGGTAAGTGAAAAGTAGCACAACTACAAATACGCATATAAAAAAAA